ATACATTAATAATTTATAGAATTATTAAATAACATAGATCTATAAATTTTAATATTACTAATTTATAGAATTATTAAATAATGTAGGTCTATAAATTTAAAATTATTAATTCATTAATTATTAATTTATAGATTTTAAATAAAAAGAAAATTTTTAAAAATTATATTTTTCTAAAATTTAAGATGAATTTAAAAAAAAAATTAATTTAAAATGAATAAAAAACCACTTAATTCATATTTTAATTTTTTTATTTTTTATTTTTTTATTTATATAGTTATATCAGATTTTGTTTATGATAATTATTAATTTATGGTATTAATGAGACTATATATTTACATAACAATTTTGTTTTTTTAGAAATAATTAACATAACAATTTTGTTAAAATTATTATTTTACTATCTTATCGAGTTGTGTTATATTTTGAATCGATACAATTCAGAATTATGAAAATTATCAATTTATAATATTTATTAATTTATCGAGTATTAATTTATAGAGTTTTTACTGTATTACGCAAATGAAAATTTTGGTTTTTGACTTTTTGGTTTAATTCTGGTTTAACATTTTAAATTATGAAATATAAAACTCTTTCCTTTTGTCATAAAACATAAAAACACTAATATAACAACATATTTTACATACCAACAAAAAAATCAATTCGGAATCAGGTTGGGATGATCTGGTTCAAATTGATTATATAGATGTGATTTTGGTTTGACTAAACCGAATGGGATGTTCTTACGCAAACTACAAATTTGATTATTACTTTTTAAAATAATTTTGGTGATGCGGACCTAATAAAATCCGATTCATTCTAAATTGTTCCAGTTTGATTGGATACAAACATAATATGTTAAACATTCGGACGAAGCTTTGTAACGAATATACGAGTAGAACCGGTGAAATACCACTAAGATGACAAATTGACAACCATTGGGTTATATATACAATTAATTATCATTGCAACAAAATGTTAACATCGTGATCACTCATCTTAAATATATATAATACACGTATTTGATGGAACAAAGGAACTTACCTAGTAGTTTCGACCACGTTACGAAACTACAACATCTCCGGCGAATATTATTTTAAGGTTGGAAATTAATTGATTTATATAGCTAGTGACAGCCTAGGTTTTTATAATTTTGTTGTTAGGACTAGACATTAATTTAAATTTAATTAAAAATATTAAAATGTTGATAATAAAGGCGTTACTATTGTTTTAAGGCGTTACCATTGTTGATGATAAGAAATCGAAGATAGACTGACAAAAAGAGTTCTGTGCCTTTAATTTATGTTTTGTTCTTTATCGCCTGAAAGTCATACATTTCGATTATAATAAGACGAGACTGAGAAGGCTCAAACAAAAGAGAAGTCTTTGTTGATAATTATGTTTTAACCAACGGTTAAAGATACATTTTTGGTTTAGACTGAGAACTCTTTCAGAAACAGTCACTGGTTTAGTTAGGAACATTGTTTAGTTTTAACGACATCGTTTTACTTGTACTATTTTTCTTAAAGAAAATTCGGTGTGTCATATGATTTTATTAAATGTTTATGGATTGTCAACATTTGGGCGAGTGTTGATTTATCCAGGAAAACTGCTATTATTTCATATTTTGTTGATCACCACTTAATCAGATTATGATTTTTTTCTATAAAAATATCTTTTTATCGCGTTTGTAAGGCTTTAGCTTAAATTCATTTTTGTCTGTTTTTATTTTAAATTACATCGCAAAAAAGTTGTTAAAAAATTGATAATATCGATCATCTAAACGTTCGGTACATGACCACTTTTTTTTACTTAAAATTTATTTGACCAATAAATGACTGATATTGAATTGGTTAATAATGAGTCGAAAATATTCGAACAATATTTATGGTTATTATTTGGTCAACAAATTTTAACCATTTTATTATTTTTTATTTCAGCATTTATATATTAGTCGAATATTTATGATGGTGTTATTCAGTAATCAAAATTGACTGACTATTTATTGACTAATTTTTAACCAAATTAATTTAAATATTTAATAGTAAAAATAAAAAATTTGGTCGAAAATCAGTCAAATTGTTTTGATCATTTTGTGACGACCATTCATTAACCCTATAATTTATAACATACAATTCATCCATCGCAGTTATCTCTCTTCTTCATCATTCCTACTTCATTTTTTTTCTCCTTTCATTGTGGATATGGTTTGGCTTACCACATCGTGAAAGCAAGTCATGGTTGTAGAGACGGCTTCAATTCAGCCTGAAAAGTCTCCACAGGAGTTTCAGATCTTATTAGATCAATTGAGGACAACATAGCTATCGGGTTCGGGTTTCTCGAGGGTTTTGGAAGCGGTGGTGCGGAGGCAATAAATTAATTAGAGGCAGAGAGCTCAAAATCGACGGGCTCCAAATCTGCAAATATAGTTGGTTTTGGCGCCCATGTTTCTCCGATGAGGTCAACAATCCTCCGTTGGTGGTAGATTCAGATCTGTGAGCATAAATTTTTTTTTACCAATTCTGATTAAATTTGGTTTAGCATTTCGGTTTTGGTTATTTATTCATAACCAGATCTTGTGTAGGTACATTGGTTATGTTAATTACCAAACAAATCTTTAATTTAAATTAATACAGTTATAATTTCCGAATTATTTTCTAAAATAAATAAAAATATTTTTTTATTTTCTAAAATAGTACTCCCTCCATTTTACAAAGAGTGTCTGACATTTTTCACACTTATTAAGAAAACTATTAAAAATACTATTTTGCCCTTTATTAATACATTAAATAATTTTTTTCTTTAATTAATACATTAAATCAATAAGGTCAAAACTGAAATATTGTTTAAAATTCTGCATTGAAAATATAAAACGACATTCTTTGTGAAACAAAAATAAAACTTTAAAACGACACTCTTTGTTAAACGGAGAAAATATATATTATTGATGAAATTTAATGACTATATTGACTAAAATTATTGATCAGAAATTTTATTTTCGACAAAGTTTATTGGTCAGGGTTATTGGTCACAAAGTTTGACTATTTTTTGACCAAAATTATTTGCGACCAACAATTTCTACAACCCAGATTTGGTCAAAGGTTAGTCAAAAACTGCTGTTTTTTAAACCATTTTGACCATTTTGACCATTTTGACCATTTTTAAACCATTTTGACCATTTTTTATACTATTTTGGTGGTCAGATTTCCACATATTTTCTTATAGTGTAATTATTAATATTTTTTATGTATATAAAAGTAAAAAGTATGTGAAGATAGCCAATATCTTTTATAAACAAAAACACAAGGAAACGTTTGATTAGAGAGATAGAGATGAAGAAGTGGAGTGTGGTGATGATTGTGATAGTGGTGGTGATGGCTACCATGGGACATGAAGCAGAAGGAAGCACGTGTTTTTTTCATTGCTTGCCTAAGTGCCATAAAAAGCCTCCTTTGGTAAGAAAAATTTGTCTCTGCAAATGTCTTTTTTTGTGCACGATAACGAGCTACAACAAGGATCTCTCTGAAACAAAACGTCTCTACAAATCTCTTCTTGATACATGCCCCCGACCACCTAATCCTCCATCACAATCGTTACAGTAAGAATTTTGTGTGTGTTTGCGTTTATGTATTTGTTTGAAAGATAAAATATATAATGTTTTAATGTTACTTATCAAACGTGTTTTGCGTATCATAATAATATTTCAAACTAGTAGATGCAAGTCTAAACTTATCGTTTGAAAGAATCATACTCATATGTATTAAGCTTCTTGTGTTGTGTTTTATAAAGAAGTTGTACATGGTTTATATCTTGACATTAATGCAGGATGAAAACAAGCTTTAGGAATGACTAATGAAAAACACAAGAGAGAAGATGTTCATGGTTAAATCCTCTAGATTTTGTACAAGTGACAAATGACAATCTATAAAAAAATTGGAAGGTTTTAATGACAGTCCTATCCAAAACAATGAAATTCACTTGATTGACAGTATAAATTCACTCCTTTAATTTATGTTTTGTTCTTATCGTCTGAAAGTCATGCACTTCGATTATAAGATGAGACTGAGAAGGCGCAAACAAAAGAGAAGTCTTTATTGATAATTATGTTTTAACCAACAGTTAAAAGATATCTTTTTTTGTTAAGACTGAGAACTCTTTCAGAAACAGTCACTGATTTTTTTTTTTTTTCCGGATGAATGTTAAATTTTATTCGAACAAAAAAAAAGCGTTTTCTACATCGATGATACGAGCGTTTTAATCAAAAGAAAGCTACAGAGTTAAGAAAAACAAATTTTTGTGATCTCAATTAGAGTACTTGAAACTATTCAGTGTCGTGTGTTTGAGGCGAACCACAGCTGAATGCCATCCGCGTATTTGGTGTCTCCCTGGGAGCGAATGGAGCTTAGACTATTTCTGATCCCCTTATCAATATCCTTCACTATTCTGGTCCAATCTGAAGAAGGCGAACCATGCCTGCGACAGTTTCTCTCCCTCCATATTGCATGAATTGTCTGCTGGAACAGGTAATGAGTGATAAACCCCTTAACCAGATGCTGCTGACGCCGAGAGATTAGAGTGACTAGAGTCGTCCAATCTGTGGTGAGCTCTTGTTGCATAATTCCTTTAGCTACAGTTGTCCATATCCGCATCGAAAAAGGACAGGAGAAGAATAAATGGTCTCGCGACTCCAATGGAGCTTGACAAAAAGCGCACGACACTGAAATATTTGGGTTCCATTGCTGCATTCGATCACCTGTTGAAAGTCTATTGTGCAGAGCCAGCCAAGCCATGAACCCGAACTTCGGAGAATGATGCTTGAACCAGATCCCTTCAGCCCAAGGGACTTTCGACGAACTTATAAGCTGGTCCCGAGTTGCTTATGCACTGAAAATCGTTTTAAACGAATCCGCCTTCGATTTCCATAGGAATGTGTCATCCTCTGTCTGTTGATATCTCCTCCGTAATGCCTCTAACTCATCCTCAACTTCATTCAATTTCTGAACTCAATGCCTTCGTCTTCGATGCGATAGTATTGCGTCCTCAACTGTTGCCGTGTGGGGAATTCCCAAGTCGACACAGCCTTGGGCTCCAAACAAATTTAATAGATTCCCAAGCGACGACCAATTGTCGTACCAGAACAAGGCCGATCTACCATTACCAACTCGCACTCTTAGAAATGCCTCTGCGAGGTGCCTAATGTGCAGTATTTGCTTCCACATCCATGATCCCGTATATTGGGTAGTAGGAGGTGGAGTAAGCCACACCGAACCATCTCTCATTAGATTTACTTCTGTCCATCGAACCCATAATGATTGCTTTGTAGTGACTATCCTCCAAAACAATTTCAGAATACAAACATCATTTGCAACAACTAGATTCCTCAGGCCCATCCCTCCATCCTGCTTCGATTTGCAGACTTCCGACCAAGCTATCTTGGCTTTCCTTGGTTTTAAGTCCGGTCCTGACCACAGAAAAGCAGAGCTCAAACTATCGATTTTATCCAAACATCCTTTTGGTAATCGGAAAGCTTGCATCCAAAAGTTCACAAGACTGGCGATGACTGACGAAACCAGTTGAAGACGACCGGCGAATGAAAGCTGTCTTGCTGTCCATGAATTAAAACGAGTCCTGATCTTATCTATTAGAGGAGCGTAATCAAGAGATCTCATCTTTTTTTGTAAGCAGAGGCAACCCCAAGTATCTAACTGGAAGCTCACCTTGCTCAAATCTGTATCTTTGACCGAGAGTTTGACGATCAGGTTCAGAAACACCAGCAAGAAAAGCTGTAGATTTCTCCATACTTATTTGCAGTCCTGACATCTTTGCAAAGTCCTCGAAAACCCCTACGATTCCTTCCATTGAGGACAACTTCCCATCCAAAAAAATCATTATATCATCCGCAAAACATAGATGAGTAAGCTTGAGAGTAGAACACTTTGGGTGAAAACCAAAATTTCTTTCCACAGCAGCCTTATCCAACATATGAGAAAGAACATTCATGCAAATCACATACAGATATGGCGATAAGGAACAGCCTTGTCGCAGACCCCTCGAGCTATTGAAATATCCAGCTAGTTCCCCATTCACCTGAACAGAAAAAGAAGCTGACGAGACGCACAATCGAATCCAGTGAATAAATCCTTGCGGAAGATCCATTGCTTCAAGAACTGTTAGAAGAAAGCTCCACTCAACCGAATCAAACGCCTTTGAGATATCTATTTTCAAGGCACAGCGTGAGGAAACAGATTTTTTGTGATATCCGGCAACAAGTTCCTATGCAAGTAACAGGTTTTCCAATAACAGACGGTCTTTAACAAAAGCAGACTGGTTGGGCAATATGAACTGAGGAAGCAATGTCTTGAGACGATTCGCCAAAATCTTAGAGACAATCTTGTAGATTACATTACAACAAGCTATAGGCCTGTAATCTTTCATGAACAGAGCTTGGTCTTTCTTGGGTATTAAAGCCAATATTGTGGAATTAACACCCTTAGGAAGAAACCCTTTGATGAAAAACGATTGTATCGCCACCACTAAGTCCTGTCCAACTATTGACCAACACTCCTTGAAAAATTCCACCGTGTAACCATCCGGTCCAAGGGATTTATTCGCAGGCATTTCAAAGAGAACTCTTTTTATTTCCTCTGCGGTGACCTCTGCAACAAGTTTCCTCTGATCGCTCTGACAGCATCGAAACTTTAGTAACCCCCTCATCTCTGCAATCGTCGTTTGTCGAAGATCATCTGGTCGATGATTCATAAACAAATCGAAATGTTGAACTGCCTCGGCCTTGATCGCATTTGCATCTTTAATTACAGTCCCCTCCACCGATTGTAACTCACGGATACCATTTCTAGCTGCTCTAACCTTCACTGCACGGTGAAAAACTTTTGTGTTTTTATCCCCATGTTGCAGCCAATTCAGCTTCGCCTTCTGAGCTAGATACATTTCCTCCAAATGCACCGATTTTTCCCATTTGAGACAAGCTTCACTCTCCTCTTGCTGAGCCAGCTCCGAGGGGTTTGAGAGAGTCTGCTCCTGCTTTTGACATAACAACTCAAAATTTGCGCGAACTTTCTTCGAAATAACATGCAGAGATTCCCGAGAAAAGTGCCTAACAACTGGCTTCAGATTCTTTAGCTCTTTTGAAAACCGGTAAAGTGCAGATGTAGAGTGGAATAAAGGCGTTGTGTCTCCCCAATAATCTCTCAACGCCGATTGGAACTCAGGTTGCTTTGCAATCACATTCGAAAATTTGAAAGGCTTTTTCAGCCGAACACTTTCCCCATCAATATAGAACCTACACCGCATGTGATCTGAGCAGCCCCCGGATTCAAAAACAGAGTATGATCTCGAGTTACCATTGAGCCAATGGTCATTGATCAAAACCCTATCCAATTTCTTACAAACAAGTCCTTCATTCCTCTTATTTCCCCAAGTGAAAAGAGGTCCATGATATCCCATGTCACTTAGATCTCCATCCCGAACTAGATCCTGAAAATCCTGCATTCCTGATGTCGAGACTGCTCGTAAATCCTGACAAGAATGCTCAGTAATAGAAAGAATTTCATTGAAATCTCTCATTATCACCCAGCACAATCTTCGATATATTGGTGATGTAAAGTGAGCCCTGAGATCACTCCACAACTCCTTTCTATCCTCCGCAAAATTCGAACCGTAAACAAAGCTGCATAAAAATTCCTCGTCTTGAGTTTGAGTCTTCACTAACAGAGTAATCACTAGACTACTCTTGAACACTGGAGTCATACTTACTGAATCCTTCCATACCAACCAGATTCTACCAAGCCGGTGATGATCATAGTTACTGATAAATGACCACCCCGGAAAAACTTTTGCAACTATTTCCTTTGCTTTCTCTTCTTTGACTCTCGTTTCTATCAACCCTCCAAACTGAAAGTCATGCTCTCTGCACTAACTATTCACAACGCAATGCTTCTTCTGTTTGTTAAAACCTCTGATATTCCAAAAAAACCTGACATAATTAATGATTGGATTTTTTCTGGACCCTCTTCCTAGTCTTCTTACCCGAATTCTTTGGAGAAGACGAATTAGAAGCAAGCTTGTCAATAGGCTTAACAACTTTAAGCGCCGACTTAGACCCTCTTGGAAGCTGAACCCGACCTCCATTGCTTGGATCCTTCTCCGCAACAACCTTTGAATCTGCAAGCTCATTCTCAGGTTCTGTTTCCCAACGTACACTCTCTGCACTTTCATTTATTTCCCCTTCCTCTTGATCAAGCGAAGCAAATCTTGAGGTTGAGACAATGTCTTCCACATCACCCACCTTTGGCGAACCTCACCTAGAAGCAGGAGACTTTACTTCTTGCCAAATCGCTTCCGCACAAGTTTTCAAACTATCAGTTAAAGACTCTGTGGAAGCCGCTGCCACATCAACTGAACCATTTGCACGACCCTCACTTTGTGTTCCTAGAGGAGCAATTGTTACCACTTCTCCTCCTGGTGCATTCCCCATTCCCTCCTTAGCAACACTTTTCCCTGGTAGCTCCACCCCCTGAACCCTCGATTTCTCACCCGCTGAATGAACTGTCAACCGATCGATCTCCTTACCCGCATTAGTGTTTCCCACTTTCACTGGAGAACTCCATTGCAGAATCCTTTTATCTCCTGGCTGTGCTTTACACTCAGCGATGGTATGACCCCACTTCGCGCATGACACACACCTTGGAGGGAGCCACGGGAACTCGTATTAACCACAGTGTCAACTCCAGTCTTTGATTTAAAACTAAAGCTTTCCGGGAGCTTCTGATCAAGATTCACTTCCACAAACACTCGTGCTTCCTCAAAATTCTTTGCCCAGAGTGTATCAGGATGAAGTTTTTTTGGTTCCCCTAAAGGACTCGCAAAAAAACTAATCCCCTTCCATGAAAACATCGAACGAGGAACGTTCCGAAGTACAACCCACATAGGTAGCACTTGTATAGCTGGCTGAGCTTCCTCTACCACCGGGCTCCATTTGGATACCATCATCGGTATGTTTTTGATACTCCACATCCCTCTTCGAAGAACCCGTGATCTAGTAGATGCATCAGGTATTTTGAATTTGACTGTGGTATCGTCAACAACAAAGACATCAATCTTCAGAGACTTATCACCCGAAGTCCATATCTTATTCACCGTCATATGAATGTAACCCACATGAGGCGCAGCCGAAACGAACTTCCCCACAATAGTATCCTCCCATAGTGGAGGAGCATTCTCAAACACATCATCTGGCACATGAATAGTGTTCACACCTTCCTCGTTTTCCACCACGACATCGTACTTTCTCAATCTCGCCTTGTCTGCAACAACTGCTGACCAGGACTTTCCCTTCTCCAACTCGACTCCCTTAGCATGAACATGAACCGGATCAGCACTCTCCTTGCTCGGAGATGACTCACGAGATCGCCGATCAACATCCTCCTTATCTAACCCTACTTTTGCAGACACAACCTTATTCACCACGGTCTTTTCGGCCGCCAAACTATCTCTCCCCTCCTCAGAGATCACCGTCGGCATCGTCTCCACCTTCTCCACCATCGGAACCGCCTGTTCCGACCCCGTCATGTCCTAGCGTGGGCAGGAATCCTTTGGAAAACCCTAGAGCTCGAGATCGCCTTCAGAGTCGCACCCGTGCTGACGTGTCCTTTTTTTTAGTTAGGAACATTGTTTAGTCTTAACAACATTGTTTTACATGTATATTTTTCTTAAAAAATACGGTGTGTCATATGATTTATCAAATGTTCACGGATTGTCGACATTTGGGCAAATGTTGATTTATCCAGCAAAACTGCGATTATTTCTTATTTTTATGTTGATCATCACTTCATCAGATTATAATTTTTTTTCTACAAAAGTATATTTTATCGCGTTTGTGCGCATATAACTTAGTTTCATCTGCTTTAACCTGTTTTTTTTTTCTCAATTTTACATCAGAAATGTTGCTGAAAAGATTGATAATATCGGGTCAACTAAATGTCCGGCGCGCATGAGTAGTGATTGGGTCGATAGTATTTGTGGAGTACAAACATAAATTTTTCTAATTTTGTTTTTAAAAATCTCTTGTTTGTTATAACACATATCATATATGGACTCTTATACCGGCCCATTAGGCCCATCAGGGCATTGTACTTAACCTAGATTCCTATGTACTCTATATATACATTCCAGTGATTAATAAAGTTTCTAATTTTTCACAACACGTTATCAGCACGATAAGACTCTCTGAGCGAAAAACCCTAATAAATCCGGCCACACCAAAACCCTAAAAGCAAGTCGAAACTTAAAAGACACATATCTTCCAAACCGTGAGGAACCAGAAGACGATCTACATATCAAATCGAAGCCCTCGACGAGACGAATCTACTGGTGAAAACCGTTTGTCGATCCAACGTCGGACGCGCCCTCACGCACACTTACAGTACACGACGATCAACCGAAAAAAAAAAACCAGATCCGAGTTTTTCCTTCTTCAACCAGCAGCTTCTCCAGTTTTGGTGATCAATCCTTGGAATTTGTAGCGGCTAACTGAGGTCTATTAGCTCCCAGTTTCATTAGCCTGTCAGAAATCCAAAGGTGGAAAAGCACACCAGCAAATGGAAACCATAGTCGTAGATAGTGGATCCAGCCACACTATCTTAAGAAACAAAAGTTACTTCATAAACCTAACCTATCAAACCGCAAATATTAGCACCATCGCGGGTCCCTCAAACCTTATCGAAGGATATGGCCATGCCTATGTGTTGCTATCAAATGGCACACAACTTGAAATACCAGATGCTCTATATTCTCCTAGTTCGAAGAGAAATCTTCTGAGCTTCAAGGATATAAGACAGAATGGTTTCCACATAGAAACCCAAGGTCAAGGGAACAAAGAATCCCTCCTAGTCACTAAAACCATAGACGGCCATAAACAAATCCTCGAAACCATACCCGCGCTCTCTACTGGACTTTACCATGCTAAAGTCAGTATGATTGAAGCTAATACCACTCTCAAAGCCCGGTTTACTGATTATACTATTTGGCACGACCGGCTCGGTCATCCCGGTGCAAATATGATGCGTAAACTAATTCAAAACTCTCAAGGGCATACCCTCAAAGAAAACCGAGCTTATCCTCAACACCTCATGTGCACAGCTTGTTCTCAAGGCAAATTGATCACTCGGCCTTCACCAGTTAAAATCTCTAAAAAAACACTTCATTTCCTAGAAAGAATCCAGGGCGATATCTGTGGACCTATACATCCATCTTCCGGACCATTCCGGTACTTCATGGTCCTTATAGACGCATCGACCCGTTGGTCATATGTTTGTCTCTTGTCCTCTCGGAACCAAGCCTTCGCTAGGTTCTTGGCCCAAATCATAAAATTGCGGGCCCATTTCCCTGACTTCCCACTAAAGACTATCCGCCTTGACAATGCTGGTGAATTTACCTCACAAGCGTTTAATGACTACTGTATGGCCATGGGGGTAACCGTGGAACATCCTGTAGCACATGTCCATACTCAAAATGGATTGGCTGAATCATTCATTAAACGCATTCAATGGATAGCCCGACCATTACTCATGAGATCAAAGCTCCCGGCCTTAGCATGGGGACATGCAGTATTACATGCTGCTGAACTCATACGCATCCGGCCATCTAGTGAACACAAATATTCCCCATCCCAACTACTCTCGGGTCATGAGCCAGACATCTCCCATCTCAAAACATTTGGGTGTTCAGTATATGTACCCATTGCTCCACCACATCGAACCAAAATGGGACCTCAAAGAAGGATGGGAATATATGTTGGTTTTGACTCTCCCACCATCATAAGATATCTCGAGCCAACCACTGGAGATCTCTTCAAGGCCAGATATGCGGATTGCCAATTCGATGAATCGGTATATCCCTCTTTAGGTGGTGAGACAAACAAGCTGGTCAAAGATCTTTCATGGAATCAAACATCATTAAATTGGCAAGATCCTCGGACTCTAGAATGTGATTCAGAGATCCAAAAGATTATTCATTATCAAAAGCTAGCTAATCAATTGCCAGATTCCTTTGCTGACCCGACCAAAGTAACCAAATCGTACATCCCAGCTTGTAATGCACCAGTACGAATAGCAGTCCCAACGGGACAGACCCAAGTTGCTACAGAGTCTGCACCACGTCTCAAACGGGGCAGACCTCTCGGTTCCAAAGATAAGAATCCCCGGAAATCAAAGAAAGGTGCAATAACCGAAACCGGGATTCCTGCAATATCAGACATAGCCGCGGCTGAGACTCAATCTAATGAACCCTCAATGGAAGTTCGGACGCCGAATCTCCAGGTTCAGAAGATAACAATGAGATCTCCATCAATTACAATATGTCCGGAATACAATGGAATCGAAAAGAAGTCGACTTAAATGCACTCTTTGCATACAAAGTAGCACTTGATGTTGCGCTCACGCAAGAGGATCTAGAACCCACGTCAATAACACAGTGTACACATCGAACAGATTGGCTAAAATGGAAAGAAGCCATAAACGTGGAGTTAAAGAGTCTCAAACTCAGAAACGTGTTCGGTCCGATCATCCGGACCCCATCACACATCAAGCCAGTGGGCCACAAATGGGTCTTTGTGCGCAAAAGGAACGAACTCGGTGAAGTCGTTCGATACAAAGCACGGCTTGTAGCACAAGGATTCTCACAGAGACCCGGAATCGATTATGAGGAGACTTATTCTCCAGTGGTGGATGCAACAACATTCCGATTCCTCATAAGTCTGGCCATAAGAGAAAATCTTGATCTGCGGTTAATAGATGTTGTAACCGCATATCTCTATGGGCCCCTGGACAACGAAATATATATGAGACTCCCAGATGGCATTGAACTAAAAGACAAAAATGCATCTCGAGATCAATACTGCATCAGGCTGAACAAATCCTTGTATGGACTGAAACAAAGTGGGCGTATGTGGTACAACCGCCTCAGCGATTACCTCATCAAAGAAGGCTACAAAAATGACCCCATCAGTCCATGCATCTTCATCAAGAAGTACTCAAACAAAGGATTTGTAATCATAGCAGTATACGTGGATGATCTAAACATCCTCGGAACATCTGGTGAGATCTCCCAAACAGTCGACTGCTTAAAAGCAGAATTCGAAATGAAAAACCTAGGCAAAACAAAGTACTGTTTGGGATTACAACTTGAGTACATCAAAGGAGGAATCCTTGTGCATCAATCGGCTTATATCGAAAAGGTACTCAAGCGATTTAATATGGACCAAGCTCACCCATTGACCAGCCCAATGGTAGTTAGAAGCTTAAGTGATGACCCTCTTGGTCCCAAAAAGGATGATGAAGAAATCCTTGGTCCTGAAAAGCCATACCTCAGTGCTGTAGGAGCGTTAATGTACCTGGCTAGTCACACTAGACCAGACATATGTTTCACCGTGAACCTCCTCGCTCGATATAGTTCATCTCCAACTCAGAGGCACTGGAACGGTATAAAACATCTCCTAAGATACCTTCGAGGTACTCAAGACTTAGGACTCTTCTATACTAACCAAAATAAAGATGGGTTAGTCGGCTTCGCCGATGCAGGATATCTATCAGATCCGCACACTGCCAAGTCTCAAACTGGCTACGTTTTTACGCATGGAGGAACAGCCATCTCTTGGAGATCAATGAAGCAGACACTCACTGCCACTTCATCAAACCATGCTGAAATCCTAGCCATTCATGAGGCTAGTAGGGAATGCGTCTGGCTGCGCTCCATGACTCAGCACATCCGCAGAGATTGTGGTATGGACGAAGACACACAGCCCACGGTGATGTATGAAGACAACGCGACATGCATAGCTCAGCTCAAGGAAGGATATATCAAAGGAGATCGGACGAAGCACATTCTACCGAAGTTCTTCTCAACCTCAGACTGGCAGAAGGACGGCACTCTCAGCGTTCAGCAGGTCCGATCCAGTGAGAATTCAGCTGACCTCTTCACCAAATCATTGCCTACTTCAACACACCGGAAGCTCGTCAAACAGATAGGAATGTATAGACTTAGAGATCTGCAGTGATGCTACAATCAGGGGGAGTAATGCGTGTTGTACTCTTTTTCCTTCACCATGGTTTTGTCCCACTGGGTTTTTCCTGGTAAGGTTTTAATGAGGCAACATTCCCCAGCGCATTATCGAGATCCCGATTGAGTAGCTGACCCGGTTCACTCGTCCAAGGGGGAGTGTTATAACACATATCATATATGGACTCTTATACCGGCCCATTAGGCCCATCAGGGCATTGTACTTAACCTAGATTCCCTATGTATTCTATATATACATTCCAGTGATTAATAAAGTTTCTAAGTTTTCACAACATTGTTGATTTATTTTCCTGTTTTTTAATGGATTCCCCAATTTAAGTGAAACAAAGAATAGACTATATCATAACTAAAAGTATAGACAATGCACAAATGGCTTAAAACCTTAGAAAAGTAGTGTCACGTAACGCCTAAGAATACAACAAATCAAGATTTGGTTATTAATTTCTTAAGTAGATAAAACTACAAATTTTGAGTGAACATATAGTCGACATATA